CCTATATCCCCCCTCCTCTACTAAAGGTTTATTATTCCCCTATATCCCCCCTCCTCTACTAAAGGTTTATTATTCCCCTATATCCCCCCTCCTCTACTAAAGGTTTATTATTTCCCTATATCCCCCCTCCTCTACTAAAGGTTTTTTATTCCCCTATATCCCCTCCCCTCCTCTACTAAAGGTTTATTATTATTATTTCCCTATATCCCCTCCCCCTCCTCTACTAAAGGTTTATCATTTTCCCCTCCCCCCTGGTCTACTAAGGAGCTGATGTGTAAGGGTATTAAGTATAATTAAGGGAAGTGTACCTCTACTGTAGATGCTGTGTTATATAATGAAACCTATTATTTATCCAACCCTTTTCAATTTAATTTTAGGAACTTCACCAAGCAAACAATATGACGTAAACTTACATCTTGGTAACAAGTGTAGGACCAAGAAGAGGGTTTAGAGGGATAGGATTTATATTTACAGTGACGTATTAGGAAAGATATAAACAACTGGTTTTATTGTAAATATTCTTTGTTTACAATTAAACTAAAGAGTTACTCACTCAGAATGAGACTTCAAAGACGACTTATCCCTTACATTTAAGTTTCTCTGCCTTATTATAGTTTTTTTTTTTTCTCAATATCGTTTAATATCATTGGAGACCCCCGGAATTTTTGGGAGACCCCAAGATTTTCATCAAGGACCCCCAGATTTGCATTGGAGATCCCAAAATTTTCACTGGAGACCTCCAAGAATTTAAATGGAGACTCCAAATTTTTGTTTTTAACCCCCAATTTTTATTGGAGACCATAAGATTTTCATTGAAACCCCGGTATTTTCGTTTGGGATCCCAAACTTTTGAATTTAAATCCCCAATTTTCATTGGAGACCCCTAACTTTTCATTTTAAGTCCCCTCTTTTTGTTTCAAACCCCAATTTTCATTGGAGATCCCCATTGAAAATCTTGGGGTCTCCAATGAAATTCTGGGGGTCTCCAATGAAAATCTGGGGGCTCCAATGAAAATCTGAGGGTTTGCGACGAAAATCTGGAGTCTCAATGTAAAGCTGGGGGTCTCCAATGATAATCTGGGGGTGACTTTCGAAAATCTAGGGTCTCCGATGAATTTATTTGGGTCTCCAATGAAAAAATGGGGGTCTGCAACGAAAATCTGGGGTCTCAATGAAAAGTTGGGGGTCTCCATTAATAATCTGGGGGTCTCCAATGAAAAGTTGGGGCTCTCCAACAAAATGGTCGCAATGGTCGGTTTCTATAAAGCAGACACCGACCATTATTCATAATGATCGGTTTCTATAAGACAGAAACCGAGCATTACCCCAATTCTCAGTTTCCATAAGGCAGAAACTGACCATTACTCCAAATGATCGGTTTCTGTAAGGAAGAAGCCGACCATTACCCCTAATGCTCGGTTTCTATAAGGCAGAAACCAAACATTAAACCTAATGCTCGGTTTCTATAAGGCAGAAACCGACCCTTACCCCCTAATTCTCGGTTTATTTAATGCAGAAACCGAGCATTACCCCTAATGCTCGGTTTCTATAAGGCAGAAACCGACTATTACCCCCTAATGCTCGGTTTCAAGGGCGAGAACATGTTTCAGAACCCCAACTGTTTGTGGGTAACCTATATGTCACTATAGCATGTTAGTAAAATCTGTTCTCCTGTCCTTAGTTCTAATACTCTTTAAATCTAGCGTTAAAAAACCAGAGAATTACTATAGGCCTCTAGGTGGTGGCGGTGCTTGATAGATTTTAAAATATTCTGGTTTTATTGAAATGAAATTCAGTTAAAATATAGAAAATGTTATATGCTATCTTCTCAACATAATATATGTAAAGGTATCCATTTGTATCTATCTATTTATCTATCTATCCATCTATCATATCTACCTATCTAACCCTACTAGTGAAAGAGTGATTATGTCAGGTTTTTACTTGGTTTTCAGCATCAATTATACTTAACTCTGACAGGGGGAGGGACCTAGGCTATACGAGCCAACCCCAGGCCGAGTCTAATCCGGGTTCAATTAAGGCTTGATATTATAAATTACTCCAGGTCCTACCGTCAGCACAGGATTAATGATTACAGAGACATCTGTTATTTCAAATGTTATCACGCCTTAATCCTCTTTCTACGTTTATCCATTAAATGCTGAGTTTTTCGGAGCTCATCAAATTATTTCTCGGATGAAAGAGAGAATGATGATGAAAAATGTTTCATCTACGGTTGAGGAAAAAAAATTCTGATATTTTACCTAAACCGCAAATTTTTTCAAATTTAATGGTGAACGATAGAAAGAAATCTTTATCTAAGAAACAATGAGAAATATAATAGTCGTTTTTCAATCTTCAGCAGAGATTCAGTCTGTCAATTTCCTTCCTTGTCTTTTCTGCATATTCCCGCATTTCACTTTTCCAGAGAAACTGCACTGAAAAATTATCAATGTTCAGATGAAAAACGAGGATATCTCTATTGTTGTGATTCGGTCATACAACTCTTTAAATGGACGGTTACACGAAATTACGTGGACAGTCCCGTTATTCCGCCGCCCTAACTAACCTCGATCCTAACCTACTTTATTCCGCCGTCCTAACTACCCTCGATCCTAACCTACTTTATTCCGCCGTCCTAACTACCCTCGATCCTAACCTAGTTTATTCCGCCGTCCAAACTACCCTCGATCCTAATCTACTTTATTCCGCCGTCCAAACTACCCTCGATCCTAATCTACTTTATTCCGCCGTACAAACTACACTCGATCTTAACCTACTTTATTCCGCCGTCCAAACTACCCTTGTTCTAACCTACTTTATTCCGCCGTCCAAACTACCCTCGATCCTAACCTGCTTTATTCCGCCGTCCAAACTACCCTCGATCCTATCCTACTCTATTCCGCCGTCCAAACTACCCTCGATCCTAACCTATTTTATTCATGGTAATAGTTTGAGGGTTGGTTAATGTAGGATTGATTTAACAAGATCTCTAGGTCTCCTGCCAACATATAAATGGTTTAATGGTTACTCAGGGGTTAGGACGGATTTTATCATACAGG